AGGTCTTTTTATACTCGTGCGCGCATATACCCTCGTGTTTGGCATCTGCAGCGCACAAAGAGAATAGAAATCCAATAAAAGCATCAAAGCAAATGCACAGAAGATTAAGTGTACCATGTACACCTCACTGATGACCCCAGACCCCTCTGCCCCCGGGGGGGGGGGCTAAAGAAAACAAAAGAAAGAAGCAGACAGGACACAGGAAAGTCGAGTGCAGATCTCTGATGTATTCAACCGCTGAGAGTCAGGGCCGTGGTGTCGAGCTGCTGGGAACAGACACTCATCTCACAATAAAATGTTTTGTGTGATCGCTACAATTTGTATTGTGCCAGTTTTAAAGAAACATGACTGTGATTGACCAGAAGAGGGCACCACCACTATCCTGTCATAAATAAGTTATGACATTTTTTTACCTCATGAATTTTGTCATTTCAAAATGTTGGTCTGAACGTATATATTTAATGCTCGACTTCAACTCTGCTCACAAAGTCAAGTGTTTGCTTGTTGTGGGAACTGTTGGGTTTCTCTATAATATTGTATGTTGTGATTTGATGCTTTACAAACGGTAAACGGTTTGTATTTATATAACAGCGTTTCTAGTCTTGATGACCACTCTAAGTGCTTTACAGTACAGTTTTGCCTTTCACCCATTTGCACACAATGTATGTGCAGCACTTCTTTGCTCACACACTGCCAGCACAGCTGTCAGGGATTCAGTATCTTTCCCAAGGACACTTTGGCACACGGCGCTGCAGAGGCAACCCGATTTACCTCCTGAGCCACAGCCACCCCAACACTGAAAATAAAATTGAAATCACACTGAATGTAAAGGTGTTAAAGTTCCCATGCTGCTCTGAGGAACTATCATCAGGCTTTTGTTCCTGGAAAAATGAAGGTTGAAAATAAGACTGACTTGATTGTTACAGTATAGACTAATGTAGAGAAAACTGTGCATGCAGTGTCCATTCTCTGTGGCTGGATTCTTGTTTTTACCTTCTTGGAAACCTTCATTTCCTCTTAGAGAATTTGTTTTGCATGATGACTGCAGACACTTACTAATCTCAGAGCATAAACAAAGCACATTTTGCATCGCAGGTCATACTGTTAATAACATGTGCTTGTGTTATAACAGACTGTTCTAAATTAAATAAGAAGACACAGTGATGGTATAGACCATTCTGCCTCTTGTCCAGCCACTGATTGTATTGTATATTTGCTCAGTGGGGTGAGATGGATGCATTTTTAACACAAGATGGATGCAAACCTTTACTGCGTGTAAACTAAATATGACTTTATCATTCCAGAATAATATATAATAGTATATATAAGTATGTACTGTGGGTAGGTAAACTATAACAAGCCTCCAGATATAAAGTATTTATGGGATGTACTATATGTTTGAATGATGCAATCCACTGATGTTCTTGCTATAAAACACAACTGCAGTACATGCAGGCATATGGCTCTGTTGGGTATTTATCACTATAGACCAAAATAAATAAATGTAGTCTCACTTCCATACTCGAGTGCAGACATACATTTTTTCTGGCTGTTCACTTCTCTGCTGTACTTGTCTGTCAGTTTCTTGTTACCATGGCAACAGACTGATCCAGACAGGCTGTCCTCTAAGACGTGTAACACACGGAAACTGAAAGCAGAAAATGGGGTCAAGACAACCTTACATTATTCTTGCAACAGCAAAATAATTAATATTTATTTTTACATGCTTTTTGGGGATTATCATCAAACTGTGTTTAATCTATTTGAGCTGAATATGATGATTTTGCCCTGAATCTAAAAATGCTGTTTTGTCTCTTGTGGTTTCTGTGGATGCAGCAGCGATTCTGAAAGAGTACAGACTTCATTTTGAAGTTGTTGACTTCAACCATGTATTCCACTTTCAGCTGAGCTGCACACAATTCAATCCAAACTCTGTTCAGGGGAAAAGGGATTAGTCTTCTCTCAGAAGTGGGGGGTGGTCCCGCTTCTCTCCCCCTTAATAAACCAGAGCCCCTCCTGTCAAAATCAATGCTAGTAAAAACCCCTTCAGTTTAAATTAGACAGGCCTGCGGAGTAGTTCACCTGTAATCAGATTGTCCTGCAATGGACATGTGAACAGACTTGTGTTAACAAAACTTATTCACAACCCATTTTTTTATATATATGCACACACACACACTCACACACACACACACACACACACACACTCACTCAGTGGAATGAGTAAGACCAGTAGCTATAAGTGGTGATCTCATCCTGAGACACAGAGAGATGATGTCAGACTTGAGATCAAGAAGCTGTTTGTGTTTTTACAGGCCACGAGGGCACTGGTGCAGGAGTGTGTGTGAGTGTGTGTGTGTGTGTGTGTGCTTGTGTGTTTGGATGTAGGTTTTTTAATGATTAAAAAGAAATAGAAATATGGACTCTGGTTTAAAGGTTAAAAGGCATTCAAAGACAGACAGTCTAACCAGGGCATCAGATCAATTGAATCTGTGTGTCTTTAAATGTATTAAACATCTAAATCTACTTCATCCCTCTGTTCTGTGGCTCTGCAGAGATTTTAGGAGCTGATATGTACGTCTCTCCTCTTCCTCCCAATAATCAGCTGCTTTCATGTTCTGTGATCTGCATCTCCTGTGGCCAGCTTTATTTTGGGTGTTAGATCGGAACATGGATACTTTATTCATCCTGAGGGGAGATTTAAGAATTTCACCACCAATAAGCTCAATTGTTTCATGTGGTCTTCCCTCCTTACTCTCCTCTGCTCTCGTCCTCCTTCTTATCTCTGCTCTCCCAGAATCACTGAAAAAAATCTGTTTGATCGTTTTTTCCTCCTCCCTCCTCTTCCTCACCCCCTCCCTCCTCCTCCACTACTCTCTTTCCCTCTTCTTTTTTTCTATCTCCGGTGATCTAATTTCCAGGATGTGTGCGATGCTTAATGTCACATGTGCATTTACCGTCACGGAACGGAGAGGAGAGGAGAGGAGAGGAGAGGAGAGGAGAGGAGGGGAGAGGAGAGGAGAGGAGAGGAGAGGAGAGGAGAGGAGAGGAGAGGAGGGGAGAGGAGAGGAGACACACCCTAATGTGACCTCATGCATATCTCTCCCTGCTCTGGTGTTGTAGGCTCTTTCATGTCGTGTGCCCATGGACAGTGTGGTGACATCATGTTTCGCTGTGTGAGCTGAATACATGATCAAAGGGCGGTGACAACAGATGCCTTTCTCTAGCGTTTGCCCTCCATCCTCCAGCAAAGTCTTCCTCTCCCTCTGCTGTGACATTAAGGCCGTAACTGAGGCATGGAAGTCACCAGGTAGAGATAAGAAATATTCTGGATGGGAGTTTGTTTTTTTTTTATGGGTGCTTTAATAGTCAGAGCTACAACTACATGACATTTTATATTGTCTTCTAGAAAACACTGGTGGCTGGTGTTGAGCACTAATGCATTGATAGATGTTCAGACCTAAATCTGTAAAAGCTGAGGTATCACAACACAAGGGGTCGCGAGCTGCTACAGCAGTGGTGGATCTACGATTTTCATAAATCAGGGGCCATAAAGGGGCCACAGTTTACACAGAGGGGCCAATTATATGTCCAACACACATGCTCAACTCCTGATTCAGGACGGTGTACATTAAAGTCATTCCTTGTTTACTGTCAGCTCTATAGCTCAGAGCAAAGCCACACATCATTGAATATATTTTGAAAAATTGTCATATTATTATTATTATAATGAGAGGACGGCTGCACTTCAGAGGCCAATCAGATTTCAGCTGGGGCCAGTGCTCCGCCCCTGCTACGTGAGAGCTGATCTGTCACTAAACCGATCCATGCATCATGAAGAGGACAGTTGTCTTATGTGCATGTTGTGTGTGTCTCTGCTGAGCCAAACATTTCGGATCTATCCACATTTCTTGGTGTACAGACCTGTGTAGTGTTGTGTGCACGACATCTGACATTAATCGACCTCTTGATGGTCGGCAAAAACTTTCAAAACACAGGGTGGATGTTCACATTTTCAATTTAGTTCAGAATAAGGTTGAATGATGACAAGTAGTGGCTGAAACAGTCCCCATGACTATCATGAAATAAACATCCACTAAAAACTAAAAATATCAACTACTATATATATATATATAACTATCATGATTTATAAGTCATTATATTGCTTTTCAACTAAGTTATTACTTCAATGACGTTCATTCAACTATAATGTCAAAAAAGGATGAACTATTTATTTTTTTCTCTATAAATTTGAATAAATTACTTAAAATCTAGATTTATCGTTCAGCAAAAACCCAGTCGGCCTTATTTTAGTGAGATTTGTAGATTTAAAACAGACACATCTGAAGGGGAGGTGGATATTTATATTCACATCCACCCATTTAAACCCATCTTTATTCTGTACTTTTCTATCACACATCAGTCAGTTAATGGGGTTCAGTGTCTTGACCCATCTTGTACCTCATGAACAACCCGCTCTACCTCCTGAGCCACATATTAATCTGAAAAATGGTTCGATTTGCTTGAGATATTGATGTGAACAAAGGGTATTTTTTAATTTTTGTAACAGGTGTAAGTTGAAGGTGCTCAGCAGTTGTAACAGTAACAATGATAATGATGATAAAGTGCATGTGCTTCACAGTGGAAAAGGTTCCTACTTCTTGTATTTACAGTTTGGATCTAAATAATTTAGTGTCCTGCGTGCGCTCTAGCTGGGCCCCCTGCTGTGATGGGCACACACACACACACACACACACACACACACACACACACACACATGCAATACTCTCTCCAATGCATACTGTACATATACACTCACACATAATCACACACTCCTGCACCATATAATGAAACAGTGATTCCACCACCCACCCTGCAGCCCAACACAAAGAGCTAACAACCCTCCCCCATCCTTGCTCTCCCCTCTTATTGGCCAGGAGCCTCCGATGCTGGCAGTGTCTCGGACCAATAAGACGTCTCCAAGGTGATGTCATGGAGGCAGCATTGATGCTGTTGCTGATGCTGTTGCCCGGCGCCTGTATCCGTGGAGCCAGACAGGGGTAACCGTAGCCACCGGTCCAGCAGCAGCAGCAGCAGCAGCAGCAGAGAAGACAGGGACAGAAGGGGGGTAAGTGTGCACATCACGAAACATGCATTCACCTTCTGTTACTAAGGCTTCTCCAGGTAAAGTCTCATTGCATAACTGCATGATGTCTGCATGTGTGTGTGCGAACATGTCAGTGTGGGGTGTAATGGGGCGAGGGTGAGGATAATGGTGATGATGCAGTGGGTCCTGCTGAGAGGAGAAGGAGGATGGAGGAGAGAGGGAGAGAACTCGATGTACCCACAAATGGTGTGATGTGTAGTCTCTGTCATTTATTATTGATCCCCCATATGTGCAGATGCAGCTTTGTGTGTGCACAACTTCACTTTGGGAGAGAGAGTGGGGGAGGGAAATTTGGATGTGGCCAAAAGATGTGTCTGAGAGGGTGAGGTGGGTAAGAGAGAGACATGGAAAGAAATGAGATAAATAGCATATAAAAGTTTGACTTATATATTTAGTTGTTTTTAACAAGTGTCTTGTTTATAGCCTTCAATTAGTTCCATCTTTAGCTGCATGCGTAATGTGACAGATTTATTGTTGTTTGTGTACAGTTTAAAAATTCAGACAAAAGCAGAATGTCTGCAAACTTTTGTCAAAATACGTTATGACCACTTTTCCTCGAACCACATTTAAGTTTTATTGACGGTTCTATGAAACTTTTTCTGGCCACACAGTTCAGTAGATTTACAGAAGAAAGAAAGAAAAATAGTCTTAACTCTTGGCTACAACAAAGTTACACATGGATTGGTTGAAAGCAGGGAAACAGCTGTGATGGTAGTATATAAGGCAAGTTTATTTATACAGCGCAGCTCAACAACAAGGTCATTCCAAATACTTTACATCGAGCATAAAAGGCATCATGACAAATTATAAAAGCAACATAACACAAAACACAGAAGTATTCAAAAGAAACTAAAAAGTGTTGCAGTGAGAATTCATACATAGGGTGAATAATATAGGAAATAAAAGAGTGAATTATTTGATTTTAAAGAGAAAAATATGTCTTACGACTGTGTCTGAAACCCCCCTTTTCTCTCCCTTCTTCACTTCTAACTATATAACAGACACTATCTTTTTCTCTACAGACGAGATATAAATATGGTCTATAATGAGAAGTAAATTAAGAACATGTGAAAAGACGCAGAGCAGTCATTTTTGTGTTAAAAAGGTGGAGAATGGCATTTTGGGATTGTCAGCACAGGCGTGTTCAGTAAATGAGACACTTCACTTTACAGTAGATACATGTATTTTCAAACTCAAATCAAATGCCGGACAGTAATGTGTGTTGATATGAGTACGGAGTGATGTTAGACACGCCCTTTTCTTTGGCCTCAACCAGTTACAAGCCTCATCTAGTCGCCCGGCAACTGGCCTAACAATACCCCAGGACACATCCCATATTAAATGACTCTTTGGTTTTTGTGCAACTGAAACAAACAAGATGAATTAGCAAGTTCTGTGTGTTTTATTCTTTTTGGACAAATCTAGGCCAAAGACAGAGCCTAATGCTTGATGCTAAGCTAAGAAGCTACTGGATGAAGCTACATGTTCAGCATACAGACCAGCAATCTCATGTAATTCTAATCCAAAAAGGATTTATTATCCAAGGTGTTTTACAATAAGATGTAGAAATCGTTTGCTATGCTTTTTATGATTTGGAGACACAAATCATTACTGACTTTTCAAAAAAACAACATTATATTATGTTATGTTATTATGTATTAGCAAATGTTTTAGAGGGAAAAAAATAACCTTCAGCAGACCCTAGAGGGACCCACATTACCAGAAGACAGCATGACATTACTTTCTGTAAGATCTCCCACAACATGACCCAAATGTTCCCACTGAGTAATGGGAGCTTTACAAAGCAGCTCTCTCTCTCTTATCATTTGTAAATAAGGAGGAATGGAGCTCCTGCAGGATGGACCGCATTGATCTGCAACCTGGGTGGTTTCATGAGATGAGAAGCAGCTCTGTGTGTGTGTGTGTGTGTGTGTGTGTGTGTGTGTGTGTGTGTGTGTGTGTGTATTTTAATGTCAGGACATGTGCTTTGCACTTTGTACATACGTGCACATATGTGTCTCTGTGGGGTCTGGATAGATGGATAGATGTGTAGATATAGTAAATATAGGACAGTCTGTAGCAGAATCTCCGCTTGGCAGATGAATGGGGAGGTGACTGGGTGCAGGTGGGACATTTGGGCACTCATCCCATCACAGATGCCTGATTAAATTAGGCCCACAACAGGTAACACACTCTCCCACACTGTGGTGGAGATTGGTTTCGCTAAGTCTTCCTCAACAGTGCAAGTCTAATTGTGGTGGTTCTATCCACATAACAAAAGTGCTTGTGTTACTGGATCCCAGAATTAAAGCAAACTTTAATTAGTGTGTGCACTGGGCTGTGAAAAGGTCAACATGTGTGCAGGGACCTGGGGATTCTCACATGACAAAACGATGCAGTTAGCAAGACAGAAGGTGTTCAACTTTTAACAATTTGATAACATGTTGATTTTTAATCAAGTCAATGAAATGGAGCGACATTGCAATCAAGTTCAAGCAGCCGACTCGAGCTGCCCCGCTCTGATCACGTGACGTGCCTCACTCTCCACAGTCCTTTAGAAAACACGCCCTCCCAAAGGGGCCGTGTATTTAAGCTGCAAAGATTTCCCATCTCTGGCGTGGCGTTTAAACAGAGGACCCAATTGCCGGCGCTGCAGTTTGGTAGGTGGATGGATAAAATATTAGGAACAATACTAAAGCAAACAGAGGCAGCAATCAGTCGTGACAATACATCAACAAAGAAACAAAAAGTAGATTGATGAAAACAAAACCAGAACACAAGGGTGAGCACATGTCAACCAATTTGAAAGAAGACAAAGTGACCAGGATGAAGGAAACACAGACTATTTAAAGGAGGCGGGATGATTGAACACAGGTGAAACCCATTAGGAGCAGGTGCAAACCATCACATCGGAGGAAAAACAGGACAAAGACAGGAAATAAAGCTTGAAACACACAAGGAGCCAAATTTCAAAATAAAACAGGAAATGGAGAGAACTGAGGGGGAACCACCAAACACAAGGTGAATGTCAATAAACTAAAAACAAAAACACTAGTTAACAGAATTCACGGCCCAATCACGACATAATCACCATTTGCTTGTCAGCGGTCGTCTCAGCCGCTCCACCACTCCAGCATCCACTTGAAGCCTCAGACAGGCGGGTTAAGGATATTTGCTATGTAATCATATCTGGGGGAGTGATGAAGTCAGAGCCCAGACGCCAAACTCTACCTAATTTCCTCCGCTGCAATAAACATTTCAAACCTTGTCCGACCAAAATGCGAAGATAAATTGAGGAAATCACTGTGGTTCAGTTTATCTGTATCAAAGCTCGACAGCTTATCGCCTCAGTTTGGAGGTTTAAAAAGTCTACTTAGCAGGAGAGTGACAAATTCATGGCGTCTCTCAGATGTCCATCAATTCAGTGTTGATGAGGCCATCTGACAGGCAGGAGAGACAGACAGAGCAGGTGGTGAAAAGTCTGTCAGATCATTTCTTTCCTCTGCTGCTCCTGTACATCAATCCGTTTTCAAACGAATCCAAATGTTAATAGAATTGTAGTTGAGTTCCAAAATGACTTATTGTGATTAGCAGGCATCTTTGCTCTGATCACAACATATTGTGGCACAGTTTACAGATCTGAGGAACATTTCCAGCAGGTGGTGGAGCAGGCTGTTGTCGATGCTTTGTTATTTACACCGTCTCTTCCCCTCTTGCATCTTCTCAGAGATTTACAGCCGCTCCTCCCACTTCAGTCACGGCTCTGATTCACTGCAACACAGACAACTGCGCCAAAAACCACTCTTACGTCCCCCGTCCAATCTAGAGCCTTTTCTACGTATTGCAGCTTCACCTGGACATTTGAGAATGATGCACTTTATATGCAGAGTTTGACACTATAAGGGTTTCATGTCCATCTGTGGAAGACCAATGTTTTCTTAGTTCTTTGTTGGTTTTGACCATAGAAGAAAGATGGATGACACGTCTCCCACTATCCAGAAATGAAGCCAAGATATACCACATGCTGCCATCTTGCACCAATGAGTCAGAGTCCACTCAGTAGAAGTTGGGGTCCTGCCAAATACACCTCAATTGAAACATCCACTGCTCGTTTGTACATAAAACATAGAAATAATCAGTGTATCTGTAAAAGGAAAATGCAGTGATGGAAATAGGAATGCCATATTCATGATAAGTTAATAGCATTAATAACCATGAGTAACTCACTTAGCTTACTAACAACATCTTATTGCACAATTAGTGAACCTGTTTATCTTGATGAAAACAATTTTCACATCATAGCAGCAGATGGAAATTCCTCTTTTTTAGTTTCCAATTAAATTTGGTTGATTTGGTTTGGTTTCCCAGCTTTCCCAGATATTCACAGTTGCCCTTTTTTGCCCTCTATTTTTAGCCAATGTTTATTATTTCATGCTGCGCTGCTTTCTCATTGGCTGAATTAAACCTTAATGGCATGGTCCACACGTGCTCTGCAGTTTTCTCTCTTTTCAGCCTCTTCTTTGAAGCTAATTCATTGAATCCTTCGCTTGTGTGTCTCTGACAGAGTGAGAAGGATAGTCAGCATCTCTGGGGAATTACATACACGTGCAGTGAGAAGATGACTCTGGCAGGTAAATGCAGCCGATGCAGCAGAAACTCGTGCACCTCACACCTCCCTCTCTCTCTCTACTGTATATACTGCTAATGGTAGAGATAGCAGCAATGGTGCAGATGTATTATATAGATCATGTGTATTGTCATTATTATTAAGGGTGTTGTTATGAGAGAGACCAGTCACTGTCTGACATTGAAGAAAGGATTGCATCAACAACCCCTAAATGCTTGTTCATCATTTCATTTGAGCCAACACAATGTTTGTGTGTGTGTGTGTGTGTGTGTGTGTGTGTCTCCTCAGCCTACAAGGAGAAGGTCAAAGAGCTCCCCCTGGTGTCTCTGTTCTGCTCCTGCCTGAATCCACAGACATTAGAAAAACCTACATATAAGGCAGAAGGTAAAATATATGCAGATATACGTAAATTAACCACAAAGCGCACAATGCATGCATGAAATATTACTGACTGATGATGTGTACATGCAATCCTTGTATTAATCTAAACATGGTCACACTCCAACACCACAGATGCAGTGGACCTGGGCTGGTGCGCCATCAAAGATGTGGAGGTGATTGAATTGAATAAGCGGGCATCGGGCCAGGCCTTCGAGGTCATTCTCAAGCCCCCGTCCTTTGACGGCGTGCCAGATCTGAACACCTCCATGCCGCAGCGTCGTGACCCATCCCTGGAGGAAATCCAGAAGAAACTCGAGGCCGCCGAGGAGAGGCGAAAGGTGAAGAGAGGGAGACATGGCTTTTTCTAAATCTGAGTTTGTGCATCATGACGCTCACAAGTAACCCAGCTGGACTCGCTCTGACCCAGAACTGCGACCCTGTGGCTATTTGTAGCCCCATTCAGGGATTGTCAAACGTCTGACAACACTCTTTTTGGTGGTGTGATTTATCAGCTCAGGAGGAAAAAGGGTGGAAATGGATGAAAGGAAAACGGGAGGCAGTGCTGGAGAGGATGGAAAGGATGGGAGGAAACCTGAGCAGGAGGAGGGAGGAAAGATAAAAGTAGGGACAGAGAGTACAAGGGCAATCATGCGAGGATACAAACACAATGGCTCATATTCATCAAGCCAAGAGGATGGTGGAGAGAGCGGGGGAAGGAGGGGAGAGGGGAAAGGTGAGGAGAGGTAGAATGTAGCCGAGGTAGAGTTTAGGGTGTGTGTCAAAGCAGGGATCTACTGCTCAATATATGCACCTACATGGGCCCAACCATCCAGACATTGAGTCATCCCATTTCAACTGTATTTTTAAACACAGTTTCTGTATCCTCTTTGTAATGGAAAACAGATCCTCAGGGCCCAGACTCAATCCCACTCAAAGACAAAACAACAAGAACACTAAAGGTTATATAAGATTTAAAATAATAATATGGAAGCCAGCAAGTATTCTCTATGTAAAGATATAGTGGAGTAATGGTGTTCTGGGCAGAGAATGAAGTCACACTCCCTCTGCGTGTGGTTGTGGTCCAAACTCTGAGCTTGTGGTCCAGACTCATCTTTATTGTTTTTGCTTGGGAGTTGTGAAAAGGCTGCAGCACACTAATTTCCCCCACTGTCACCTAACCCTCCGGGGGGCTGTTAAACCAGAAAAACACTGCAGCTATTTCATCATCATACAGTTAGTGCCACACTAGCTGCTGAATGTGTGCTGCGCTCAGAGCTCGATGACTGTGCTTGAAGTTTTTAAACAATCAAATCCACTTTGCCAGTCTGCACAAAAGCTGACTGGACTGTTCTTGTTGGCTCTCTTCAGTTGACCTCCTGGTTGTTAGTTTAGGGACTGAGCTTTGCAGCACCTATAAACTGTATTGGAAAGACCTTGACTGAGAACACAGGGAGGCCAGAGGTGTGGCTGAGGAAGCGTTTATTGTTTCTGGGATTCTGGTGCTAGGGCGCCATCCACTGGCAATGAATATCACTTGTATAACCTTCAGTCCTAAATAGCCCTCTGGTATTGTGGTGTGACCTTTGAGTGGGTGTGTTTAAACCTCCAACAAAGACGTTAAGTTATCGTCTGCGTTTGTTTGTTTGTTAGTAGCAAAAAATGATCTCCATGGAATTTCGTAGAGGGGTGGGGCATGATCCGAAGAAGAAGCCAGATCAGGGGCCTAATCCTGGAATGTTTTTCACTTTCCCTTTAATCTTGCAAGATGTGGTGTTTTCTAACATTTTCCTTGATTTCTCAGAGAATAATTGATGGATCATGAGGAAACAAATAAGACATGTTTTGGGGACTGATGAGTTTGTGCAGATCCAAATTAAGTATGGATCTAGTGAATTTAATTTGGGTAACATATACTCTATATTGCTATTCTAATACTGGAAATGTGCAGGCTGCAGATACAAAAGGCTTCATCGAGTCTCAGGCGTCTGTGTCCTTCTGCCTGTTGAAATAATAATTCCCTTAAACATTCTCAACGCCTTTTAACCATTTGTAGTTTTAGTTTTTTGTAAATAAAGTGAAATAACTCACCTCTTGAGATTGTCATTAATGGTTTGTGTCTCCCTCCAGTGCCAGGAGGCCGAGCTGCTGAAGCACCTGGCGGAGAAGAGGGAGCACGAGCGCGAGGTGATCCAGAAGGCCTTTGAGGAGAACAACAACTTCATCAAGAACGCAAAGGAGAAGCTGGAGCAAAAGATGGAGGCCAACAAGGAGAACAGGGAGGCCCTGCTGGCCGCCATGCTGGAGAGGCTGCAGGAGAAGGTATGCTTTAATCCAGTGTGGTGAATGTTCTCATACATGCCTCGCACATTTTAAGAAACACAAGCCTTTGGTATTGTAAAGCTCTATTTTAACATTATTCACAAGCCTGATCTGTTCTCATGAATATTATATGAGGTGGAAAATATTTTTAAGTTCTCCCCACTCTGCATCATTCCCAAACTGAGCTGTTCCCTTGTTCTGCTGACACCTCCCTCATTAATGCTAACTTATTCACGAATAACGATTCTAAAGCTGCAGTGTCTCTGTGTCTGTCTGGCAGGACAAGCACGCAGAAGAAGTGAGGAAGAACAAGGAGATGAAGGAGGAAGCCTGCCGATAGACGACTGGAGCAAGGGAGTCTCGAGAGAGAGAGAGAGAGAGAGAGAGAGGGTGAAAACTTGGAGCTTTCTGAGTCGATTTAAAAAAAGGAATTTAAAAAACAGTGCAGAAAAAAAATAAGAACTTGAACAAAGGGAAAGGCAAGTTTTCATATTTGATGTATGCTGTAACGATTCTGAACAAGCTGTACAAAGTTAAGCCGACACTTGATGTTGAAATTCACAAGGAAATCTGTTGCTTTTTTTCTAACGGGGGGGTGGGAGGGTGGGGGGGCATTGAAACAAACATTTCACATATTCAGAAAGGGGCTGTTGAGGTTGTTTGGTTTGAAATGAAAGTTGCATGAAAGCAGGAGGAGGTAAAAAAAAAAAATCTAAATCAAATACAGCTCAGTCATTTCTGGAGTTCCCTCAGTCAGTCTTTGTTAACTAAGCTGTGTTTTAATTGTTTTATATCAAAAATAATCACTGTATGTTACCAGTTTGGCTGCAACACCTCCAATGAGGCAGTTCCTTTTGCAGTTAGACTGTAACCAGAAAAAAGGGAGTTGCAATCTAAACTGTTAGAAACAATGATAACTGTGTCTGAAATCACCCACTCATTCACAACCCCCTTCTCACTATCCAGGAACTATCTAGAGGACGATAAAAGAAAATGCTTTCAGACACTACTCAGGTAATTTCCACTGCACCAGTAATCACGCCATTGTCGTAGGATTAAGTCGTACAATAACAACAACAACGTCGGCTGATGCAAAATCCCATAATACATTCGGAAAGCTTATTTTACACTTACTATTTGTTATATTAGGGAAAAAGGGTGTTTAATGGCAGCGGTTAAATGTAGAAATAAATCTGTTTGTGCAGACAAATAAGACTGTTTTAAAATCAGTTTCAAATATAACCCTGTCTGTCTTTATCCTCATGATGATTCAGATATGCAGGAATAAGGAGTGTCGGTTGTACAACACCTTTCGTGATGCACTGCGGGATACAGTGAGTGCATTATCCAGGGTGTAAAATAATTCACATTACAAAATGGAAAACTCACCATAATGTGGACTCTATAGTGATAAGTGGGGGATTTCGGACACAGCCAATGTGTTTAAGTACACACGGACACATGGATGTAGTTTAAGAGCCCTATGCTCAGAACTACCACAAGTCAAAATCACACCTTCACTTCATTTGATTATCAGAGTACCCGTCAGTGCAGAGAAACAGGATTTAAAACAGATTTAACACAAGCTTCTGCTGTTCCTGAAGTGAAAATAAAAACGGATTTCCCCTGTTTCCTCCGCTCTCATGCTTGTTCAGTCTGTCTGGGGACGTCTGCGTGGAATCTCACGAAATGGCTCATGAATATCAAATGAAGAATCAGGCTTCTGTTTCTCTCTGCAGTGCTCCAGGGGAGTGGAATTCAAAAAAAAAACAACAAAAAAGAACTTCAAAAGTGAAAAAAGCGAGGACGCTCTGCTGTTTTCTGCCATTTTCCGACTTTGTAAAAACTTTAGTGTGATTGTAGATCAGTAACATGCATTTGAGTCTCTTAGATTTAGAGCACTGATTGCACTCTTATTTCATTAATCACAACTCAAAAGCACATATGCATACAAGAATTAGACAGTGTGAAAACAGCAGCATCACAGGGAGGCAAAGTGACAGATTTGGACAAATTTGCTTTTAAAGTACAAGTTTGTGGGTTTTCTGGCTAAACAGTAATGTCTGTTTGCTTTGGCATGTGTCACTGTGCTCTGAATGTTACTTTATGATTTTCATGGGGATTTAAACCTAAAAGAGTAAAACAGAAAGATGAAATTTGCTCGAGTTGTTGAGTCATACTGACTTGATTGAAAGGTCCAAAGTGTTTGCAGTGGGAGTCGTGACATAGGGTTTGTACTTGCTGTAACTTTGTGTCGCTGTATATCTTCGAGGCTGGATTGATTGTATCTATTTGGCATGGTCAGTAAAAACAGCTTGACTGAGCTTGCTCTTGTGCTCGTCCTTCCTCGCACTTCTACAGGGCCACACACTCACTCACACACACACACACACACACACACACACACACACACACACACACATACACACACTCACTCACACACACACACACACACACACACACACACACACACACACAGAAAACACCTACTAAATGCCAAACCCTAAAACCAAGACTTAACCCACAACTCCTTTGAATTGTAGTACTCAACCAAAATTGGCCCCCATAACTATAGGAAGACAATTACACACAGACACACACACATAAACAGACACACACAGCTTTGCAGTAAAATCAACTTGACTGAATAACTTTTGATTAACTTCATAAGTTGGAATAAAACATTTTAATAAAGATTTTACATTAAAATAAGAACAGGGTTATAATAAAATGTGAGAAAAACGGGTGGGAAACATTGACAAAAGACAAAATATGAGGAAAAAAATACACACAACCTAATGAAAAGTTATATTACAATAGCATTTAAAAAAATACATTTTCAAGATGAGGTTGCCGACAGAATAAAAGCTGCATGAAATGTTTTTTCCACTATTAGCGGGCAGAGAGAAACACAGCTCTACGCAGTTCCGTGATATTATCAAGTGGTACAGTGATATTCATGCGTCCATCTTCATGAAACTAATGCTGCTGCAGGGCTTGTTAGTAACTACTGCAGCTGACAGCTAACACAGCAGGTCAGGAACATGATAGCACTAACTATTCACTCAGACATTTCACAGTGAAGCAGTGATAACATAAAGGTATCGCTAGATTTGAGCTACACACGTTCGATAACATCAACAGCAGACTGGAAGAACTGCTACTGTGTGTTAGGGCTCTGGTACACACTGGGCCTCACACACGTACAACCCACGGAGACCACCTCTGTCCCCAGTTTGAAGACATACAGGCTCTTTGCTTTCTTTCCTCTTTTGCTTTTTCTCCTTTGCCGCCTTTGGACTCTTGAGAGGGTTGGAAAAATAAATCACAGCGACTGATGAGGACAACAAGAAATTATGTTTCGTTGAATTTGACTGCACAGTTTATTTCAGTCTATTCCAGTTCTGACACTGTTTTCACTTTTCATTCAGCTATAGGACGTTAATCAGAGACAGATGCCACCACTGAAACAAATATTCACAGGTGTGTGTTGTTTTTGTCGAGTCTAACCTCACTGTCTGACACTGGATAATAAATATCAGATAAGTTTTGGTTTCCATATTCTTACTACTTCAAGACACAATGAAAAACTACAAATGACATTTCCACATATAACATGCCACAATGTAGACTCATTCATCGTCAAACGCCAAATTAATCAAACTTTCAATTATATTCCGCAAAGTATGTCGATGTATAAAAACACAGATCATTTCTAAATTTATATTTCAGTGTGTTTACAAGGCCAAACTCCATGAACCTCACGCACACAAGGATGATTGTAACATCAGAAACAAAACAATGAAAACCTCATCAGCAGCTGCTTGAGGCTGCAGTGGCTCACCTGTGGAGGACCAGGACCTGGTAGTGGATGGGTTTAGCCACCAGGTTGGCTTCCTCACCTCCTCCCTGCAGGCTCAGGCAGCCAGAGGTCAGGCACTGAGCATGGGAAATCCTCCTGGGCACCCGAGATTCTACATAGGAGTCTCTGGAGAGACATGGAAAAATGGGAGGAGGAGAAATTTTGATATTTCTGGCTTTTAAAGTTCAAAGCTGAAAACAGAAAAGACCACTGACCACATAAAAGGACTTATTGCAATTCCTCACCTGTACGTCCACGGTGACAGAGACTTGTTGGCGATGGATGAGTCGAAGGTGCTGACAATCTGAGGCAGCACTGAGGGATCCAGGACCAGGCTCGCCATCTTGCTCTTGCCAGCACCACTTCTAGACTTTCCAGACTTTACGCCCTGGCCTTTTCTGGCGGCGTGCAGCAGCGTGGCCAGGCTCAGCATCAAGAAAGCTCTCAGTAACTGAACACAGGACAGTAGGTAAGTGCTTGATTGCTTATAACGTAGAAAAAACATGAAATGCAGCAGCCAGAGACAAATCTAGAAACATTTCCTATAGTGTGTTCCAAGTGAAGATATGGGCGCAACTCACCAGCTGCATGGTTGCGTCGTCTGGCTTTTCCAGTTCAGTTTTGGGTGTGCAAGTGCAAGTGCAAGTGCGAGTCGCTCCTCTGCTTTCCTGTTGTGTCTACATTCTCTCTGGGTGTGTTTATATCCTAGCAGATGTGTTGGGTTGTGCTGACAAGATGAGCGGTGCATTTCCGCTATGACTGTCACTGACTGTGTTCTTTGTTCATCTAACCTCTCCCTCACTTTCCATCCTCATTGTAAAAGATAAGATAATCCTTTATTAGTTAATTACTATAATTATTTCCTACTGTCTGAGATTCTGACATTTAAATACATCCCAACATGGATTTCCCCAGCTACAGCTTTAACATGTTACACGTTGTTGCACAAATAAATAGAAATTTTGAACTTAAAAGATTCTTTTAGGCATTTTGTTACTTCTGGGTCGAACCAGGGTATGTTTTTCCCCTTGGTCTCATTCTTTGTGCTATGCTAAGCTAACAAGCTGCGGGCTGTGGCCTCATATTTAGCAGAGCAAAGACAAACTTCCAAAGAAAAATTTAACGTGAAGACATGAGATACACTCTCATTCAAACAACAATAGCTTGTACTTGATCTCGTTTTGATCTCTCTCTTCCTTTCTAAAGAACCAGTACATGAAGAAAGTGATTATTCCCCTGTGAGTGATGAGCCAGGCTGCACTTTGTTCATCTGACCTGCATCCTGTCAAAGTGTGAAAACCTTCGCTCACCCTAACACCTTTAATGTGGCTGTGAAAGCAGCAAACTTCACTTTTTTGAGCTAAAAGAAAAAGAATAGCACTGATGATGATGTGAACTTCAAACACAAACTATTTACATTTTTGTTTTTACATATACATTTTTCTATATAATTATATAAAGTTTCTATTTATATAAAAAAAATTCTCCCAGTGTCGAAACCAAAGCAGAGTGAATTTTGTCAATCCAAAATAAATAATTACTTTTTTGTGATTTCCTTTAAAAATTTGGTTTGGATCTCGTTAAAAAGAATTTAACCCTAAAAGCAGAAAAGAAAAAAAATGTAATTCATTCATTGTTATTCCATTAACACATTAAAACATTTTTTACAAATGATCTACATTTTGAACTGTGAACATTTTTTTTGTTGTATAACAAAAAACCCACGACCCACTCCAAACAATGTAGGTCAAGGAAATGCTGACACGGGCTCTGGCAATTAATCAGCATAACTATTCCCCTAAAACAAACCATGTGATAAGATCTTCTCCTCATGCATCATATGAGTAAAGAGCCGACTAACTGGAGCACAGCTGTGTAATCTACAGTGTAGTGAAAGGAAATAGTTCGAGAGCTTGTTTGACATCAGTAATCTTGGAAAAAGAATTCTACAATTTATACCTTAAACAAAATCAGGCCAATAGATGTATGAAACTAACGGATGAGAAAATGAAAAAAGTTTAATTGTAATTATCAGCAGATAAAAATTTGAATAAAACAGTTTGAATTGGACAAAGTTATCTATTATTTAAAGACGTGTCAGCAGTCAGTCATATAAAATGTAAAAGAAGTCCAGTTGACATAGGAGGACACATAACTACCTCTGAAAACTATTTCTTTTCTTTTATTCCATCTTGCAGGTTTTACATGCTAAAGGTATTAAACTGTATCATCATTACGACAATATGAGAAATCACTTGTAAACACTTTGTGATAGTTGAGTATATGATTGCATTTGTTCTTTTCTTCTTTCATTTGTCTTTCTCCAAATAGCACTTCTTCTCCTGCACGTATTCCCAGTGAAGTGCTCAAACTACAAGCCAGCCATCTTTACAGTGTGCTACACAACAGTCAGCAGCTTTATTTCCCAAAGGTTCAGTTTGACATGAATCATGTCCGAGATCCTTTATTTTTATATGGTCTCTCATTACGAGCAATAAAATAAATAAAACAATAGTAAACACGACAGACAAAAAATGAAGCAGAGGACGCAGAAAGTCAGAGAGAGATTACAACTAAACGCAGATCCATTTATGTTTGATTCAGAGAAAAGACAGATACAATATCCTGTCAGGAACTTGCACACTTGTTTTAATTTTTTAATTAGTTTGACATTTTGGGACATATTTGTACTTTAAATTTTTAAAGACAGACCTATGTTCTAATTTTTTTAGAATATAGGATTGGATGGTGATTATCCCTTTTAGGTTTGAAGGGCTTCTGCATAATTTAAGTTACCAACTATCATTAGAAGTTAGCAGGTGTTAGCAGCCACCAGCGGATGTTAGGGACATCAAGCTTAATTGTGTGCCTTAGCGTCATCTAATGTTTTGGCTTTGTAATCGACGATACAGGCCGAACAGGAGGGTACACTGGGGCTGCTCAGTAGATCAGACATCAGTACCTCTATGCCTTTTTAAACTTAACACTGTCCCATTTGAGAGCATAAGACAAGATGGAGAATATCCCTTGCATTGTTGAGAATTACTCCAACATGTGGGGAAAACACATTATCCCACTGTGTTTAAGAATCTGCCTGCATCTGCAACGACTTGCTCCAAGTTCACAAGATCTTCAGCAGCCCTTGGCCACCCTTCCACCAAGTTTCAAGAAGATCACGAGGAATGAGACAATGTTCTAAAGCCAAGCTTCTCGAGTTTTTCCTCAGGCTTTGATTAAAAAAACATTCACAAGCACTTGTATCTCATTGATCTGATCATTTGTATGTATTTCACACCTTTGAGACTTCAAAGGGCCGTACAGGAACATCATTTAAATATTTCATTGTTCAAAATAGTTTCTAAAATCATCTTGTGACCCCGGCCATGAAAGAAAAATAAAACTGAACTAAAAGTTGTGAGTGAGGCGTAAGCAGTAGTCTTCAATGCAGTGGATATGAGTCAGCCGTGGGTGTCTAGAGTTTGAGGCTGGATGGCAGCAGCGGTTTCTAGGAGCGGTCGGTGTATGTATTTGAGTGGTTGTTGATCGTATCCACCAACTGATCAAAGCCCAAGTTGATTATGGAGCCAAAGATCAGATACAAGAATGTGTGGGTGCAAAGATGTTGTGACCACCCGACTCAGGGTAAACGTGCTCTACTTATTTACACTTTCCGTTCAGAGTAAAGAAGTGTGAGAAGGAAGGTGGTGGTTGAACAGTGATGTGTTAACCAGTCAAGAGGTGCATAACAGGCTGCCTCCCACACACTGAGGTCTGGATTTACAGCAGGTCTGATTTTAAATGCTTCTTGTAAACACGCCGGCGCACATACAGGAAGAGGTTGGATCATTTGAGGCTTATGGGAAATCAAAAAGTTCCCAGCAGTTCCAGGATACAAACAAATGTGCGGTCAGATAAATAATATGTACACAAGAATGCAGGCAGAGTCTGAGAAACCTGGGAGATCCCGAACACACTCAGCAGCACTGGTTAAGCAGTGATTTATCTGGAATCCAGATTTATCTCTACCACTAGTGAGTCCTCCACAAATACTTCAAACATCTCTTTTTAATGGTTTAATGGTGGAAGTTGTGTGCAGAGCTTTTTATAATCACTTTAGTTTCAGAGTGAGGTTAAAAACTTTGTGTTTATCCTATCTTATCTGCACTCGAGATTTTTCATACAAAGCATGCCGACTATTTCAGAGGTTTGTTAAGCAACCAACAAAATGTTTGACCCAAGTTCAAAACTTTTCAAAATAAAAGCTCTGTAATTGAGTCCGGTACAAAACATTGCAGCAACTAAAGGACAGTTGTGCTTTTACCTTGTAAAAATATTGCTAAAGAAAAAGTGATTCCATGTTGTTGCCATGACAGAGATCTAAACCTGTAAATTTCTCTCAGTCAAAAATAATTTTTAAAAAATGTAATTATGAAAATGATCTGGCAGTGATTTTGACTTGTGGTGTGGCCCAGCTGCCAACTGCTGCTGTGGTTTATCATAGGACGTAGAAGAAGACATGATGAACTGACGCCCACAGACTGAGAGCTTAATGGCCCCCTCCCTCACTACAGAACACTGATTTTATTAATATTAAACATATCACAAGTCTGAATCTCTCCAATTGGCCCTGCACTTCCTGTGGCAATTGAAAATACACATTCCGAGTGTGAAGCCAGTAAGTTGAACCGTTCGTGACAGACGGAAAGACATTTGTGGAATGAGTAGGTAGATTAAATGACACTATTACAACACTCACACTCATCTACAAATTCAAGCCCATTTCCAAAGCACGACATTTATTTTTTTTAATTAACAAATACAGTTAATTAACAATTTGAAAACTTTTCATCAACTATATACAAACCCAGCCAACTGGAGTGTTGGTAAAACTACTTAATAATGTGATTATTATGGCACAGTGAAATACCCCCTGCCTTCTTCACATGAACTGAAATGTTTGTTCATTACATTTACAGTAATTTGTGATAATAACGACATTATAAAGTAACATTACCCAGAAAGAAACAAGTGCATACATGAATAAAACTTGACTTGGTAGATTAAGCTGCATCCTTTGTGATCCAAATGCCACATAATAATATTTCTGCCCGATGGTCAGGTGTCTGACTGGTCTTGAATTGAACATTAGACTGCACTTAAGGAAAATGAGCAGAAAACACATAAAGCAACAAGGTGTCCAAAACAAAGTCAAACAAACAAAATGTACATTTTAATATGAACCTCTGTTTCTTTCAAAGTCCATGTCATCTTTTCGGAAACAGTCATCCTCCTCCTCCTCCTCGTTCAGATAAGGAAGATGATGTCATCAGCCATCATGACCTGGTTGTCGTCCTGCATGCGAGTCAAAGCGGCACGAACCTCGGGCTCGGTGAAACGTTTCTCCCGCTCCTTGTTGATGTCTTCCATCAGGTTCTTCATCTTCACAGACTGAGCGTGAGCGGACTGGAACACGGCGAACAGGGACGACTTGAATTCTTTCATTCTAGAGAGAAAAATATTTAGATAATATTTAGGTGTGAATAAATAAGCACAAACATCTTAGAAACAAGCTGTAATTTGTTCCAAAAGATTTTTTTGTCTGCAGACCCTTCACCCAAAAAATATAATTCAACCAGCTCTATTCATGGTAACTAATTTGTTCTAAAAGAAATCAAGCAGAGACCAGATTGAATATTTAATATCATCTACATTGTTGAGATTCTGAGAGGAATCAGTCGCCCACCTTTCTGCAGACAGCTCAGCGTCTTTAGCCTGTGATGTGGCGTCCATGGGCTCAGCCTCCTCTCGCTGTGGCTTGGCTGGTTTCGGGGTTCCAGCCTGAACTAAAGAGCAGAAGGAACCACGTGACCTCAGTTTCATACAGAAAGTGACACATAACTTGTATATGACAATGATGTGATGATGTAAAGTATCGTGACATTTTAAATCCTGAGTATTTCTCAATAATAAATAAATAATCCCCATCTTCACCAATACTTGTGAACAGCAAGTATAACTGAATACATGTATTCATCCATTTTAGTACTTTTAT